CGCGCGCGCGTGAGTGAGTGTGTGTGTGGCACACGGAATGCAAAGATAGTGCTGGTTTGCGTGTAAAGTGTGACGCATAGATGCTTATGATTATATACCTCGATGAGAGCATAAGCGCGTCAGTGCTATTGAGAATGGTAAAATCCAACTGTTTGTTGCCCCAAGTTAGTATATAGTACCGAAATGTCTCGAGGTAGGTAATATATAAATATGTACTCCATACCTTTGCACCTTTAGCGGTATCTATGCAACACATGCATGTGTGTATAAACACTCAATGCGACATTCGGTTTGGGTAGACACAAAATCAAACCGCAAAAAGACCCCAAAGAATGGAAACGGAAATTCTTTGTCCTAAACGTCAGCATATACCTACCTGCCGGTGTCGATGACCTGGAATTGGGTTCAGCACTTTCCCCAATCCCGATTTCTTCGCCGTTTTGATCCAAAAAGGAGAACTCCAATAGGGTTTCAAAGCAGGCGGTGGCCAGTGCTTCTTTGACCATCAGACTGCCCGTGTGAGGGTCAACATCGGGCTCACTCTGGATATGGGCGAAGGCTACTTCTGTGTTCTCCAGTACAGATCCTGAGGGGAGATATGAAAGGTAAATACATGTACTTAAGATGAATATATATATAAGATTCATACATGTGCATACATGAAATGAATATATATACTTCAGATTCATACATGTGCATAGATAATGAGCGTACATGCGCGTACATGTGCGAAGGCTACTACCGTCTTCTCTAGCACACCTCCTAACGAGAGTTCCTAAAGAATAATACATACACTCGCCATACACACACCAAACCCTAAACCCCCAAACCAGCAGCGGCGCACAGTGCTACCCACCTACCTCGTTGTAGTGTCATGATAATCTGGTTGACCAATTCCTCGGGCAAGTACTGTATGTGTGGCAGGCAGAAGTCCTGCACTAATCCAATTAGTTGCAGGTCCAGGGATTCGTCTCTGTGCCGCTCCTCAATGGGCGGGATGAAGGGGCTGTCGATTAATTCTTCGTCCCTGAAATTAGTGTGCGAGTGATGAGGTGGATAAGAATCAATTCGCACATTAATCTCGTACAGCCTCTGTACTGTTCGTATGTAGTGAGTGAGATGACGGGACTGCCAATTGATTCTTCATCCCTGAAATTAATGTGCGCGTGGACTGGCACCTCTGTACTATACATATACAGTGCGTGGGCTGACGGGACTATCAAACAATTTATCATCCCTACAAAGTATTAGGCAAACAAATAGATGGGTTACAAATTAATTCACAAACTAATTTGATATTAATGCTACACCAATACATTCGTGTACAGCGAGTTACTCGTACAGTAGCCAGAGAACTTCATTTGTGCAGAACTTTAGAGTTGTGATATCGGTAGCGGTTCTACCCGACACAGCAATCGACGCTGTAATGAAATACACACTCACTCACATTAAGATACACACGTACACATGCATACATAAATAAATACGAACATACACACCTACATACACACTCACGCACTCACTCACACAAGCATACATACACACATTCAGATACAAACACACATAAACACACACACACACACGCTCACACAAACACACACACACACACACACACACGCTCACACACAGACAGAGAGAAAAGGACAGATACGCCATATCCTCTCTCTTACCCGTCGCAGAACAAGTAGTCATCCAGTAAATCAAAGAAGGCTCTGAATGTGGTGGTGCTCTCAACGGTGTGTTTGCCTTCACTCAGCACTCGACATTGCACAGGAAACGTGTCTCGGGCAATGGCAACGAGTGTCGATACAGCAACACGCCATGTTTGAGGCTCCACGTGGTACTTTTTCAGCATACCCTGGCGTAGTGGTTGTGGACAGGTGTGTGTAAATGAACATCGTTGATGCATATATGAATTGGTGAATTGGTGAATTGATA